TCATCTTGCTTAACAGAGAATTAAAGAGAGCAGGGAACAAAGGCTTTGTCAAAATATCCGCAAGCTGACTTGTGGTTGTAACATGCAGTGTCTTCAGCAAGCCTTGTTCAATCCGATCTCGTGTGATGTGACAATCATTCTCGACGTGCTTCGTCCGTTCATGGAAGACAGCATTGTTTGCAATGTGTATAGCTGCTGTTGAATCACAAAACAGAGGAACAGGTTTGGATTGAGGTACCTGAAACTCGTTGAGCAATTTAACAAGCCAAGCAATCTCTTTACTTCCCATTGCCATAGCCCTGTATTCAGATTCAGCAGATGAAGCAGAAGCAACATCCTGCTTTTTAGATTTCCAAGAGATCAAGGAGTTTCCAAGAAACATGCAATACCCTGAAGTAGAGCGTCTAGAATCCTTGTCTGAGTTCCAGTCTGCATCAGTAAATGCTTGTAGACACAAATCAGACTTGGAGGAGTAGAACAAACCCAAACCAATTGTGCCTTTGAGGTAATGAACCACTTTATGAGCTGCTTTCATGTGAGATGCTTTAGGAGCTGAAGTAAATTGACAGAGCCTATTCACCGCATAAGTGATATCAGGTCTAGTGATCGTCAAATACATCAACTTTCCTACTAGCCGTCTATACATCTCTGGATTTGGCAACTCTGATTCATCACTATGGAGCGTCAGTTTCAGACTTGGTTCCATGGGAATAGAAGAAGGACGACAGCCTAGCAAACCAGTGTCTTCTAACAATTCCAAGGTATACTTTCTCTGACATACAGAGATACCTTTACTAGATCTAGCAATTTCCAGGCCTAAAAAATATTTCAAAGGACCAAGGTCTCTAAGTTTAAAAGCCTTTGCTAAATCTTTCTTCAATTCCTCTATAGCAGCATCATCATTCCCAGCAATAACAATGTCATCTACGTATACTAATAGAGCAATGTAAACACTACCAGTCATACGGATGAATAGAGTATGATCAGCCTGCGACTTCTTAAAGCCAAGGTTCATTAGTGTTGTACTGAACTTCAAGTACCATTGTCTTGACGCTTGTTTTAAGCCGTAGAGAGACTTCTGTAATTTTAAAACCGCATTGTCAGGTAAAGACCCTCCCTGTTTCATTGAATATCCCGGAGGTAAGCTCATATAAATCTCTTCACTTAAATCTCCATTAAGGAATGCATTTGAGATATCAAGCTGATGTAGACTCCATTCTTTTGCAGCTGCAACAGAAAGTAATGTCTTGACTGTTGTCATTTTAGCCACTGGAGAAAAAGTATCTATATAGTCTATCCCTTCTTTTTGTGTATATCCTTTGGCCACTAGCCTTGCCTTGAATCTTTCCAAACTTCCATCAGCATTCAACTTTACCTTAAAAACCCATTTACAACCAATAGGCTTCTTTCCTTCAGGTAAAGAACATACTGTCCATGTATCGGTTGATTCCAATGCATCAATCTCAATTTCCATTGCATCTAACCATTCTTTAATCTTTTTAGCCTGTGCATAAGTAGTCGGTTCTGGATACTTATTCACTGCACATATGTAGGCTGTAAACTCCTCAGAAAGTTGAGCATAATTAATATATGCTGAAATGGGGTACCTCACATCTTTCTGAACATCAGGAACTGCATTGCAGTAATAATCTTGAAGGTGTCCAGGAGGTCTAGATTTTCTCTTGGTGTGAACTACATCATCATTAGTGGTTGCAAGATCCAATGACTGTAATGAAGCATTAGAAGTCTCTGGCATCTCAAAAATATCATGAGGTATGCTTTTCTTATCAGCAAATGGGAAAACTGATTCAAAGAACACAACATGTCTTGAGATATTAATACTGTTGGTCTCCAAATCAAGCAATTTATATCCCTTATATCCTGCAGGATATCCAAGGAAAACACAGGCTTTTGCTCTCGGCTCAAATTTATGGCGTTGCTGAGTACTTGTAGATTGGTAGCATAAGCAGCCAAAAACTTTAAGAAGAGAGTAGTCTGGTACCTTAAAATGAAGCAGTTCAAAAGGTGATTTGTTTGACAGAAACTCACTTGGTAGGCGGTTGATCAGAAAGACTGCAGAGAGTATACAATCTCCCCAAAGATCCAAAGGAACACATGACTTAAACATTAAAGCTCTGGCAACATTGAGGATATGCTGATGCTTCCTTTCCACAACTGAGTTCTGCTGAGGTGTTTCAGGACATGAGTGATAGGAGATAATACCTTTATCTCTGTATAATGATTCAAATCTCAACTCCGGAGCATTATCTGATCTTACTCCTTTTACATGTGTCTGATATTGTTTCTCCACCATTGTAATGAACCCAGGGAATATATGTAAAACCGCATTCTTTGTTTTTATCAAATAAACCCAAGTTGCTCGACTAAAATCATCCACAATTGTTAGGAAGTATCTGAAACCTTCCACAGTAGGAGTAGCAAATGGTCTCCAAGTATCAATGTGTAATAGCTCAAAAGCATGTTCAGACTTATTGTTCTTTGAAGGAAAAGAGAGTCGTTTCTGTTTAGCCTTTTGACAAATAGAACAATGAACTGACTCTGCTTTATTCCTTTTTCTCAAACCAAGTACATCATGTAGAACATCGATTTTCTCATAAGAAGGATGTCCTAATCTACTATGCCACAGGGCATTATCAACTACCGCATTACAATGCGCATTCAAAGAAACAGATGACAAATTGTCATTACTAGAACATTCAACAGGACTAGCATCTAAGACATATAAGCCTCCAATCTGTTGACCTTCACCAATCTTCAGCGCCTTGGTAGGATCCTGAATCACACAGCAACCCTCATCAAAAAACACTCTAGACTTCATGTCTCTGGTTAATTGACTGACACTGAGCAGGTTTAGTCGAAACTCGGGAATATACAACACATTTTGTAATGTGATATATTCATTCAACTTAATAACTCCAATCCCTGCAATTTTGACATTTGAACCAGTAGGAAGTGTAACCTCACTACTTAGAGCATCAGATAGGCTTTCAAACAAGTTCTTATCAAAAGAAACATGATGAGTAGCACCACTATCTATGATCCATGTGTTAATAGTTAACATCTTCTTAGTAGTTGTCAAAACACAAAGTAACCATAAAGTAGAGGGAGAGAAAGAGATACCATTGAAAGCAGAACCACTTGTATCACTAGTGCTTGGAACACTTGAGCTAGAGCTTGCAACAGAGGCAATAGTGATTGGTTGTGCTGAATTGTGAAGCTGAGAACTGAAATAAGCTATCACATCCTGTATCTGATTCTTTGAGAGATTTCCCACTAACTCTGCTATCCCATCAGGGCCAATTCCTTTTGCTGTAGACGTTTTTCCATCAGTTAAGGCAAGGTTAGCAACAACAGGCTTTACCTTATCTTGTGGTGTCACAGTTTTATGTTTATGTTTGAACCCCATAGGATATCCATGAATTTTGTAACAAGTATCAACACTGTGACCAGTATAACCACAGTGAGCACACTGTATTTTTGGTTTTGGAGCACTAGGAGCACCATAAGACCGAGTAGCATTCACTGCAAATTGCTCATTCTGAGAGACATTAACCTGAAATGTTGCAGCAGTGTTTGGAACTGTGATAATGTTGCGTTGACTGTGATCTTGATCCAAGAGATTGTAGATTTCTGCAAGATCTGGTATGTTCTTTTTCATTATGATCTGACTTCGAATTGTTGCATACGATTCATTCAATCCTGCAAGAAACTTAACAATCTTGGCATGTTCAGCTTTTGAAGCAGTAGCATCACAACATTTACATTTCTGACAAGTACCAACACAACTTGCCCCATCCAAATCATCCCATAAAGTCTTCAAAGTAGTGTAATAGTCAGAGAGACTCATAGAACCTTGTTGCAATCCCCATATTTGTTGAGTTAAATGATATGATCTCGGCAAATTTGTGATATGAAACCTTGCAATCAAATCCTTCCATATCTCTGAAGCATCCTCAAAACGAAGTATACTCTTGTATATTTGTTTAGAAACCGAATTCAATATCCAAGATTTAACCATACTATTGCATCTTGACCATACACGAAAACTCAGATCATATTCAGGAGGTCTTGGTAAAGTTCCATCAACAAAAGCAAACTTATTCTTAGCATCCAAAGCAACGAACATCGCTATTTTCCAAGAAGAGAAATTAGATCCATCAAGTATCTCTGTCACTAAAGAATTTCCAGGATTATCACCATTAGAGAGAGCATAAGGTGAATAATGCGAATCTGTAAAATCAAATTGTGGCAAACGATGAATCGGAGGTCTTGTAACGAATGAATGTTGAATCGGAGAAGAAATCGGTGGAATTGGCGGAATCGGTGAACTCTGAACACGATCTGGAGTCTTCTCAGGCGAATCCTTCGTCGATCTTCTTGTACGACGCCGTAATTTCTGTACGGAAACCATCGCAAGATCTTGACGAAAGATAGCTTGATTTGTGAAAAAACCGATCGAAAGAAAGAGAAAATGAAGAAGAACGAACGATTTCTATAGAGAAAAAGCTCGAGAATCCATGAAATTTAGGTCGAATCGAGTGAGATTTTAGTCTCATGCTCTGATACCATGATAGAAACGAAGAAGATGACGAAAAACTCTGTTATTCCCGTTAAAGTTTGTTACAGAGAGAGAGCCTCTATTTATAGTAGAGGTGTTCCGGTTTATTCCGGTTTACAAACAATTGTATACACTAATAATTAGTTTTTTTTTTTCCTTTTAAGATACCATGTGGATATCAAGATTGTATTTGTTCCATCTGGATTCAAATTTATCAAAATTCAGGTGATCCGGTTTGTACTTGATTTCTTAATTTCTACTAATTCATTCATCCCCAGAAAAGTATTTAAAAAAAAAAGAGGTTAAACCAAACCAAACCAAAACAAGACAAAATTGAGACACAAAAATAACTTTTCAGTGCACATTCTTCGGTTTAGCAATCCGATTTAAAGGATACAATCGTAATTAAACGTGCCAACACGAGTTTGCAAAGAGAAAACAAATCCAATCAATTCGAAGCTATCTTCTTCCTCGCGTCGATCTCTGTATCGATTTCTTCTTCTTCTTCTTCTTCAGATCTCTCACGACAATCTTTGAGATCTGAATTATCCTACGATCAGGAGGAAAATATGTACGGATTCGAGGCGCTTACCTTCAACATCCATGGCGGATACTTGGAGGCGATCGTCAGAGGTCACCGTGCTGGTCTTCTCACCACCGCCGATTACAATAATCTATGTCAGTGTGAGAACCTAGACGATATCAAGATGCATCTCTCTGCCACCAAATACGGCTCTTACCTCCAAAACGGTGCGTCGTGATAATCCCTGATTGTCTCTCACAATTTTGACTCAGTTGTTGTTGTAATACGAATTTTGATGATCTGAATTTGAATTTTGCTTCATTGCGTTTGGGTTTCTGGGTTTTAGGCACTTGAAACTCTCCCAAATCCCCATATTGATCTGCGAATTGAAGAAATTTTGATGTCAAATTGTAGTCTTGTTCATCTTATTAAGTGGAGTTGAAATTTGATGTTTAGTCTCTGTATAAATACTACTGTTCTTGTGCTTGAAATCTGCACAATTGGTTAGTTATTGTATCTGAATCTGATGTTTTCTAACGCAGAACCGTCACCTCTGCATACCACCACCATTGTGGAGAAGTGTACTCTCAAGCTTGTTGATGACTACAAGCATATGCTTTGCCAAGCTACTGAGCCAATGTCTACCTTTTTAGAGTACATCAGGTAATGTGAAATGCTTATTTAGTTCTGCCAAAATTGTTCTCATAGTATAAGATTTGTTACTTTCCTTAAGTTTTAGCTTTAATTACCGAGATCGCAGAGCAAGTATATGTTTCACTATGTTGAAGGGAAAGATTATGATCATTCTGAAATGATAGCTTAGATTGTTGTCTTGTTTTACCCCTGGATTTAGTTTAGTATATGATCTATCAAATTGAAGACGCTGGCGTTTGAGGTAATTGGTTTGTATGCAGATATGGCCATATGATCGACAATGTCGTGCTCATTGTTACTGGAACCCTGCACGAGAGAGATGTTCAAGAGTTGATCGAGAAATGTCACCCTTTAGGCATGTTTGACAGGTAGCCCGGATCGACCTTTTGGCATCTTCTAAACCTCATTTCTTTTCTTACTTTTATGTTTGTCTCATGCTCTCTCTCATTTTTGCCAGTATTGCTACACTAGCAGTTGCGCAGAACATGCGGGAACTCTATAGGTTGGTGCTTGTGGACACTCCTCTGGCTCCATACTTTTCTGAATGCTTAACATCAGAGGTACAAAGCTCAAGTATTTATTATTCTAGTTTTTGCTTGTAATCAATCTTGTGCAGTTTGTTTGCTAGTTTCTGTTATGATTGTAGTATCACATGCATATCATATTATGTGTAGGATCTCGATGACATGAACATAGAGATTATGAGGAACACCCTCTACAAAGCATACCTTGAGGATTTTTACAAGTTCTGTCAGGTGCTTAGTCGACTTCTCAATCTATTTTCTAGGAATTTTAGAATCTACCTATACTAGCTAACCCCAATTTTTGTTTTGCTGTGTATCCGAAATAGAAACTTGGTGGCGCAACAGCAGAGATTATGTCTGACCTTTTAGCCTTTGAGGCCGATAGAAGAGCAGTGAATATCACTATCAACAGGTAATTACTTACTGCTTTGTCCATGAAACAATAAGAGTAGTGAATATCAATATCAACAAGCTGATGTTACATTCATAAGCTTTCTGTTTAGCTTTGTTTCTGAAACTGGTTTTCTTTGCTATGCAGCATTGGCACTGAGCTCACAAGAGAAGACAGGAAGAAATTGTACTCTAACTTTGGTCTGCTGTAAGAAGCATTCTACAGTCAAATGATATTTTCCACTCGATGTTTATATATTTTAGTTCTCACCATGGTTTGTATTTTTTCTTTTGCAGCTATCCATATGGTCACGAAGAGCTTGCTATCTGCGAGGATATAGATCAGGTAAATCTCAAGCTAACATATTAAATATAGTGAGTTTACGAATTTGGCTCATTTAATTCCGTTATCATTCACTGGTAGGTTCGTGGTGTTATGGAGAAATACCCTCCGTATCAAGCTATATTCTCCAAGATGTCTTATGGAGAGAGCCAGATGCTTGACAAGGCATTTTATGAAGAAGAAGTCCGAAGGCTTTGTTTAGCCTTTGAGCAGCAGGTTTGTTTCCCTCTCCCCAAATGAACCGTAATGAACTTTCCAAAGGTCATAAAATCTAGGCTTCAATGATAACCTTTAGTTTTAGTTGTTTTCTGTTTATATCCCAAAACCTCTGGTCTAATACATTAGAGAGTCTGATTGTGTTATGCATCTCGCAATTCATGTATAATACTAACAATGGTTGTTTAAAACCTGAGTTTTGCAGTTCCATTACGCTGTATTCTTTGCGTATATGAGGTTGAGAGAGCAGGAAATCAGGAACCTGATGTGGATATCTGAATGTGTTGCACAGAACCAGAAGTCCAGGATCCACGACAGTGTCGTCTACATGTTCTGAGTCTGGTAAGAAGTCAAAAACACATAAACAAATGTGAAATCTGAGTCTGGTTGTTTGGTTTCTTAATCACTCATGTACAATCGTTGGTTTTACATTCCCTGTTTCTGTCGCTCTGCATTTTACCAGTGCGTGTATTGAGTATTCCCCAATAAGAATCTCTCCATTTGTTTGTTTGTTGTTGGCCATATTCTTGCTTGGTACTCTTTTGTATGCCAATACTCTCTTGTAATATCAAACTATTTATGAGGCATACGAATTACTTTCGCGGTCACAACATTTTCTTTTGCGATTTAGAGAAAGGTCTACCCTAAACTATTAGAAATCATTAATTAGAGAAAGGTCTCTAATTCCTTGAAAATGAACATAAAAGTGAGAGGAAACTAGCAAAGTTTTGAAAAAATTTGGATGTCAAAAGTTCTAAGATTACTAATGATCTCCCAAAGAGAAATTCTCAATGCAATTGTGGTTCGTGGTGAAAGAGTTGAATAAAAAAGTTGATTTTGCTGCTCTCGAATAGAGGAGAAGAAGACATCTCTTATTTTTTCTACTAGGGTTTATCGATGACAACTCTTATAACACCAATGGAGACAGAGTCAAATTCCGGCGACCCCTCTGAAACTCCGGCGAAACCGAGCCGCAACCTCCACAGGCGAACCGAAAGCTATCGAACCTTGTAATCCTCTCTGCCTCTCTCGATCGCGATTTCAAGAGATGCAAATTTTTTTTATCTCAGCTGGCATTCTCCAGCGATGGCTTCCCCACTGACCCTCTTTGGTAGTCATAGCTTCTCTCAATTATTCTCTCAATTTCTCCACCTAAAAGCCGAAACCTTCCTCTCTACTTCGATGGTGAACCGTGAACTCCGATGTGAATCCGACCAGAATCTCTTCAATTTCCGGAGATTTCTTCCGACGAGTCTGAGGAATCCTCTGCCTTTGCGAGATCCCCATTCGTCCAAGAGCAAAAACGTCCTCTCGACCAGACGCTTTCAATTCCTACGCCCAAAACATGAGTCGTGTCTATTTCTCGACGAAATGTCAGATGTAATTTCCGGTGGTTTCCTCCTTTGCCATTAGCTTTCAAAATTACTCAGCTACATCTGTAAGCTCTCGATTGTCAATTCCAGCAACATGGTTGATTGATTTCATTAATTCGGTTTAATGTTGGTTTTGGGGTGGTTTGATGTCGGTTTAGGTCGTAAACCGAGTAAATCCAAAATTATGGAGAAATAGATGAGAACTATCGATTCGAGGAGATATAGGTTGAGAAGTATTTTCTCGGGGATATTTAGATCGTAGTCATAGATTGGGCTCTATCTGTTATGATGTCATAGTTCTCGTGGGGAAATAGACCGTTTTCCCTCCCAATTACATAGATAGAGCTATTGTTTTCTATAATTTTTGTTTCGTTCCAATTGATTTTTTTTTCTTCAGTTGCTGTTTGCAAGGATACAGATCAAGTAAATGAATCCCCAAGCTCTAATAATATGAAGGGAGCTATTGGTAGATGATAGAGAACGGACGAACTAAGAAAGTTGCGATGTTCTTACAAACTTTCTTTGGAAAAGACATTACTTAAAGAAATGTCCATAAGAGCATAAAATAAAATTGAAGGAAAATGTTGATAAGAGTTCCCAAAAATTTTACTAGAATTCATAAAAATCATTGATAGACAATCCATATTCCATAGTAATCTTTGAAACTTTTAAATTCTCTCTCAACTTTTAAAATCATCAAACTCTACACAATTCAACTTACCAAAAACTCGGGTTACAATTAAGTTCGTGGTGTTACTGAGAAATACCTTCCATATCAAGCGATTATGTGGTATCAGCCCATGGTTTATTTATTCTCATGGAAAAATCATATTTTTATCGTTTTATCGAGTAAATGTGTCACAAAACCTGTTAGGAAACTAGTATATGATCATTTGCAAAATATTAAGTAGTTGGAAAATTAAGACTTACCATTTTTCTTTGATGTAGATGCCGAGACGAGGGCTTGGTCGTTTGTTGAGGGTGGGTGGATTTTGAGTCCGTCATCGAGACGTTACAAGTTTTAGTATCGTCGAGTTGGTGAGCCGAGTACTCCCGAGATGACTAGTTATGATGCTGAGCCGGGATCGAGTGTTCCAGCCCCTGCTGTCGAGGTATCTCCAACTGTACCGGAGAGGGTCACATATCCCAGTATACCATAGATTATAACGGATCCGCGTGAGTAGGATGATGTGATCGGGTCTTTTACGGATTATTCCAGGATGAGGGAGAGGATTTAGATAGGCCTGTCAATTTGAAGCAAAGCATGTGGGCCTAAAAATTTCAAAAAGCAAAAAAGTGGGGCGGGTGTGGGTTGGGTTTCATAAATTGCGAGTTTTTCGGGTAAATCCATGGGTCCCGCGGCTTTAAAAAAAAAACAAAATATATAATTAAATATAAATTTATATAATATATAGTTGTAAAATATTAAAATAATTTGTAATATATATATGAAATAATTATAAATTTTAGGCTTTTCTTAAAAAATATGTGTATTTATCTTTAAAATTATTATTAATTATAATTTTGCTTTAAAAATATTTTAAAAGTAAGTTTTGAAAGTCCGCAGGTAACCCGCGGGTCTCGCAAAATTTAGCAGAGCGAATGTGGGTCTACTATTTTCTCCCGTGGGTTTTGCGGGACAGGTTTTTTGAAGGTCAAAAATTTTGAAATCCTTTGCGGGGCGGATCTGGCGGGCGGGTTTGACCCGCTTGATAGCTCTACATTTTGAGACCCCTGTTCCGATCATCGATTGAGACGGAGACGGTGATGGTGGAGATTACATTACTATACCTAATAGCCCTGTTTCGACCCTCACTGGATTTGGTTCCATGTACTCTCGGATTCAAATACCTGATGACGATCAGGTAGTGCCGAGCGATCTTGTTGTTTCACCAGTAGCGATGACAATCAGCTGGAAGAATTGGATATGTGAAGGGCGGAACTCTTTTCGGTTAAAGAAAGTTGGATAGAGCCCAAAACTTTCAAAAAAATTCAAGAACAAGATATAGGAGAATATTACGTCCACTGCGTCGGATTTGGAGAATTATCCCATCACGTTGGCCTCCAACTCCAAGTGAGACAAATAATTACTCTCAAGATAACAACTAATAATAAATAGACGTACAAGAGGTTTTTAACTAGATTTTTTAAAAAGTTTTGGGCTCTATCCAACTTTCTTTCTTTATTTTTATCTATAATAGTATTTTTAAAATACATTTTATATCGGGTGAATTAAAAATTTATCCGAGATTTTTGGTACCGGATCCGATACAAAATTTAGTTCATAAACATTTGTTTGGATCGGATTATATGTAACCCAACTCTTCCACCGGATATTTGCCTAAAAATCGGATACAAATATTACCAAAATTGGATCTTATCCACTAATTACGTTATATTTAATAATAAAAATATTTAGAAGATTTGCTTCTAATTTAAATTTATGATTCTCCTTTTATCTTTGTTTAATTATTTTTTAATTGTTTTGAATTATCATATAATACATAAAGTTTCTGCATATATTGTGATTCAAAATTTCAAAAATAGACATATATTACCCAACTAATGAAAAAGTGTGTGTTCAACGTCACACATCGGCTAAAATATTTGACCAAAAATTCAGAGTCATGTTATAAATAAGATCAAAATGAATCCAAATCCGAATGAGCAGAAACCTTAACTTAACAAGCATCAAAATTTAAAAGTTGTATACGGGTTAATTCGGTTTTTAGTTAAACTGTTTCATTTTACCGGAAATATTAGAATTGATATATTTGAAAGCAATAGAAAGTTTATAATATTATGAACATTTGAACATATAAAAATAAAATGTAACACGAGACGGATTATATTATGGGACAAAGTTTTATGGTGGCCTGGCGGGACGGGTTTTGAATCAACATTAATAAAAATTTAAAATATCATTAATTCGCCGCTTCAATACGGGACGAATTAAAATCAAAAAGAGTTTATAATATTATGAACATTTGAACATATTAGAAAAAAATAGCACGTGACGGATTATATTGCGAGATGGGTTATATGGTGAGATGGGTACGAATTAACATTAATAAAAATTTAAAATATCATTAACTCGCCGCTTCAATACGGGTTAACTTTTTTATTATTTTAACACCATGATTATTAGATATATCGAATCAGCTTGGTTTAAATAGAATGTATAAAACAAAAATTATTTCATGGTATACCGCTACTTAATAATAATTGTAAATTATAAATATATAAAGTTCTTATAAAATAATAGTATTTGCAAATTTTTATATATAATACAGAATCATTAAATTTAAAAATTACTACTTTTCGTAAATAAATCGTCCTTCGGTGTACCGCGGGTTAAAATCTAGTATGTGTTTATGATTAACGCCTGTTGTCTAAATGCTATGAAAAATGAAAATTAACTATGTTGAACTTTAAGTGAGGAATATTATTATCATTACCTCTATACTTGTCAAACTGATCTAGTTACAATAAGCTACGAACACACATGTTTAGCCAAGAGAAAATACTGGTGAGGATTAGAAAAACATAATTTAATATGGGTGGTTTCGTATGGTCATATATATTGGGATTAGAAAATAATATCTTCTAGTTTAGAAATTCATATCTTTTAAAATTAAAATAATAAATTTAAATTGAATAAACATAAAGAAAGTTTTATTTTGATTGTCAGTTATTATTTTAATGAAATAAAGAATACTTTCTATAATGACATAGCTGTATATAGGAATATTAAAGATTTGAAGAGAAAAAAAACATAAAATGACAAAAATATAAGCATGCAATAAGCAAAACATAAGCAAAAATAATTGTGAAAGAAATTAAGTTGTATCATCTATTCGATGAAAACCGATTTGCTGATATCTATATATACATTTTTGTAGGGATTTTAGCCAAAAAAATCCTTTTATAATTTTGTAATTGTACATTTAGTCCCTACAAAAACAATCTAACAAAAATATTGTCTTAAGCAAATTTAACAAAACAATAAAGTAACTCAAACAAAATTCCTTATTTTGCCATAACGAGATTTGAGTTTTGGAAATCATATATTCAATCTAATATTGTATTAAACATAATCTTAAGCATATCAACCAAATGGAAACTACTAAAACAATAAAATCGTTTTCGCATCTAAATCATTAAGTATATGGAAAAAGCCAATGGTTTCTGGTAGGGATGTTACAAAAATGATATTGGTTGACGAAAAGGTATCAAAAGCCAATGGAAACTACATATTGATTTTTTTTGTGTTTCAAAAACTGATCTACCAAACATATTGTTTGTTTAGGCAAACAAAATCGATGCAACGATTCCATATGGGGTATACAAATACCCTTTTCAGGGTGTATTAAAACCAGGCTTCTGGTATCACATGTCTGATTTCCAGATATTCTTGCTTCCCATTTGAAATCAAGTGCATCTGCGAAACAGCTATGTGGCCTGTTATGCGTGAATGCAATAGCAGTTTTCTTGCATTTCATTTTTTTTCTTCTATTTCAGTTTAACATTATATTTACATTTCACAATATGCTATTTTTTAGTGTTTGCATATACTAAGATTTAAGTTTGCCTACTAACCTTTGTTTTATCCAAAATTGATGAAGTCTTACAGCTACTTTGATCAATCGTTGCATAGACAATACTATAACCTGCGATTATAAACAAAAGTTTAGTTTCATATTTCAGATAGTAGACATAGCAGATTATATGATAGTAATATTTCTAACTGTAAAAAACGATTGCATACACAATTTACAGAAAAAACGAATGTATAACTACATATCTACAAATCAACATATACATTTACAGTAGCTGATTGAACTATAATTACATAAGTAATATACAAGTATGGAAATCAGAATCACTTTCTTCATAAATTTACTAAAACCTTATTCAATAATCACATTAAGCAACAATGGTATCTGTTTAGATCGATCAATTACTGGAAAATGATGTTACCAATTCATAGAAAAATGAATGAAGAACCAAATCTATATGTATTACCTCAAATTCTCGGGTTAATCGATTTCTGATCTCGATTTGGTAGGTTTGGCACTCCATGGCTCAATTGCATTGTCGAATCAGCTCAACAGGTTTCAACCATGAGACCATTCTTACCTTTACAAGTTATTACAAACAAAATTAATCTATGAATCTAATTATTAAAAATTTGTATGTTAATTTTAATTTTGCTACTCAACAAAGTCTCATATTATAAAATTGTCGTTTTCATTTCTACAGCAATATAAGCAGACTTATTTGTCTGAAATATTAAATAACAAATAAATACAATAAATCTTTTGAGATATAATGCATACAAAATTTTGCACTTACACCACTTTTTTTTTTTCTTTGTACAAAAAAAAATATAAGAGATATCATATTTCAATATTTATAACCATAAACAAAATTTACAACCCAACACAAGTATTTGCACATATATATAAAGTACTTACACACTTTCAAAACTATTTAAATATACAACAAAGACCATAAGATGATACGTAATTTACACACACGGTACATTGTTACTTACTAAATTGTAATCATTTTTCTGTATTATTAGAAATATTCAAACATACAACATACTAATTGTACAATGAACACTATATAGATTTCTATTTTTTTTTATCATCCGAAATTAACTATATAGATTTCTATATATACATTCTAATCACACATGTAAATAGGTTATATAAATATTTATTATATTTTAAAAAATTATAGAACTTTCTCAAACAAAAATATTTTATTTTTTAAAACGAAAATATTGTTCCGCGGTGTACCGCAGGTCAATCCATAGTTGTATTATAAAATATGTTGACCCACTTATAGTCGGTTCCATTGGTGTACTTTTTTCTTGATCAAATTGGTCGGCATATACATAAACATAATGAAAATACCAAGTTTTTCTTGTTTTACCTCCCACCATCGATCTCGCATTCATCGCCAATTTTAAAACGATTCATGTATATCAAATCCATGGAATTATATATGGCCTTCCATATCGACCCAAACAAGTAGACCCAAACAAGAAGCCAACCGGGGTTATCTCTTTTTAAATTGTAAATTTTTGTGATAATAAATTCAAACATTTCAAATATTACATAAACTCTACTAATTTTTTTACGTTAAATCGTAAATATTTTTCAAAGATTGTGAAAAACTTTTATAGTTTAAAAAAGATATATGATTAAAAATAAGATATTATGCTAATTGAACCAAAACTTTCTTGTTAAAATTTAAGATTATTAAAAATATTTTAGTTTAAGATTATTAAAAATAAGATTATATCTTTGAAAATTCAATATTATGCTAATTGAACCAAAACTTTCTTGTTAAAGACCCTAATAAATATTTTTACCTTCATAAATATTTTTCTAAAAGATCTTATTTTTAATCATAAATCTTAAAAAATATTTTTAATCATATATCTTTTTTAAACTATAATAGTTTAAGAATATATGATTAAAAATATTTTTTAAGATTTATGATTAAAAATAAGATCTTTTAGAAAAATATTTATGAAGGTAAAAATATTTATTAGGGTCTTTAACAAGAAAGTTTTGGTTCAATTAGCATAATATTGAATTTTCGACAAGATATTTCTATGTAGCTAAGCCATCTTTTTGTGGAAATGCTGCATCAAGCCATTAACAGTTCGGAACATATTGTGTTCACGTTTTTGGTAATATGATAATTAATATACTTCCAAAATAATTTCACTTTTGAGTTTTGACTTGATTATAAAAAAAAAAAAAACTAAAAAGTAGAATATTCTGAAATTCCTAATATATTACGGGAAAATCACATTTTTAACCTTTAAAGTGGCATTGGGTAGCACTTTAAACCTTGATATAATCTCACTAGCACTATAAACTTCCAAACTAATTATACTAACACTTTAAACCTTCAAAATAACTTTTATGTTTGTGTCACCCTAAAAGATAACGGAACAGTTAACTTCTGTCACCCCAGTTAACTTCTGTCACCCTAACTAAAACGTGTTCTAAAAAAAAAAATCATTAAGACCACTTCCCATAATCCTTGTCTAACGTTTTTAAAATTCAAAATCCTCAAATTAATTTGGGATTTGAAGGACAAGAACATAAGTGTTTTGATAACTGCAACTAATTCTTGTTTACAAAAAATAAAAGACAATTCCGATGAAGAAAAATATGATGATATAGATAACTGATAATGTCAAATTGTCATACATGAATTCAAAAGAAAACATAGTGCCTATTGGTCACCAAAACATGGTGCCTATTGGTCTGACTACGTGTTATGGTCTTTTGGAGGCTTTGGGTTAAGGTCAGACCTATCATAAACTCGGTCTCCAAAAACCTCAAAAGGTCGATCAGTGAATGGACTCCAAAATGTTCCAACACCGTGTGGAATTTTACCTGTTTTTCTAATCTTCAGTGGTCTCCCTCTTCGAGCTTTCTTCACATGTGGCTGCATTTGATTTGATGAGGTTGACGGCTGAGGAGCACTAGAAGTAACTGGAATTTGTGAGCTTGATTCACCAACTTGTACAGGCTGAGAACTACTTCCAACAGTATGGGTGTCTTTTCTTTTTCTTGGCTTTGGTGGTGGCTTTGGACGATACTGAAACATATCAAGCAAAGAATAATGATTCATAAGCATTATCAATTTAAACAAAAAATATTTCAACTGTACCTCATCTATAAGCTTCTTTGGTCTCCCACGTTTGTTCTTTGGACCTTCAACAACAACCGGTTCATTCTTGCAACTAATCTTGTTATGCCCAGCTTGACCACATCGGCTACAATGTGGAATCCTGCCGTGTCTTGTTGATTTCCCTGGATTTAATTTGTAAGTCTTCAAAAGGTTCTTTTTGTCTGTCTCTGTTTTTTGGTCTCCCTCTTGGTTTTCTCATCTCAGGTATCCCTATTGGAGGCTTATTTGTCCTCATCCAAAGTTTCTCACCATTTACAGGTTTGATGTTCTCTTCATATGTCTTCTTAAAGACTGGAGTGAAGTAATAATCAGCAACATACCGTACTGGATCATCTTGATTATCATCTAGAACACATACAGCATGTCTACATGGTATCCCTGTAATACACACATTCAATTAGAAAAATGGGATATATAGAACATTTATAAAATTCATTTAATCAAAAGAATTTACCTGTAAGATCCCATCTTCTACATGCACATTCATGGGTAGCCAAATCAACAATGTATCCATTTTCAAACTCATTTACCTCATATAAAGTCTTGCTACTACGTAGTGTACCACAATACTGCTTTGCCAACCTTGCCTTCTCCAATAATGCCATTGTGATTGGTGTAACAGGAGTTTCCAGCTTCTCTGCCTTCAGACACCTTCTAGAAATCCTTCTCATAGCCTGTCTTCTTATATCCTCCAGCATATTAATTATTGGCTTAGACCTTGCCATTTTTATTGTCCTATTAAAACTCTCTGACAAATTATTGTGCACATCAGCACAATGTGACTGAACATTAAAGAAGGCACGACACCACCTTTCCGGTTCGGTTGCTAGTAAGGCTTGATAGGCTGAAGGATCATATGCCTTGACCAAATCCAACTTCTCCTCGTACTCTCCTTCAGTGTAGCTGTAAGCTACTCCCCAAAAGAGATTCTTGTATTCTGACCTTGAGAAACCTTGCTTCTTCCAGTTAGCATATATATGCCTTCCACACATCCTATGCTCTGCATTTGCAAGTTCAGCCTCTATTGCAA